TGGCGGTTGGCGGTGAGTGCGACCGGGCCGGGACCGGCTCCCCCACCAAGCGGGGCGGGGCCGGGCCGTGCGGCGACGGGCGTCCACCGGGACGGGGACCGGGACCGGGACCGGCTCCCCCACCCCCCGAAGCGGGGCGGCGGAGGGAGAGGGTCCGCCCGTCCCGCTGGGGCTGACCCCGACCCTCCCGCAGATCGGCTGCGAGGACGGCTCCGTTAAGCTCTTCCAAGTCGTGCCCGGAGGGATCCAGTTCGAGCGGAACCTGGACAGGCGGAAAGGTGAGTCCGGGAGGGCTCGGTGCTGCGTCGGCACCGTCCCTCCTGTCCGTCCCGGCTGCCCCGGTCCCGGTGACCGAGGGGCTGTGGGTCCACGGGGTCACGTCTGGAGCTTCCTTCCCCGCAGGCCGCATCCTGTGCCTCTCCTGGCACCCGTCGGACGCTCACATAGCGGCCGGCTCCATCGACGTCCTCCGCGTCTTCGACGTCTCTTCAGGTAACTCCTGCCCCGGGAGGTTAGGAGCCCGGCCTGTCCCCTTGTCCCCCGCCCCGGGGACCGTCGGCACCGGCCCACCCCATGCTTTGGGGGGGATCCCCCTGCCGCCCCCAACCATCCTTCCCGCGTCTCAGGCCAAACCGTCCAGAGGATCATGGTGAACTACCACGTGCAGAAGGTGAAGCGCGAGTGCATCGTGTGGAGCATTGCCTTCCTCTCGAGCGGCACCGTCGTCACCTCGGACTCCTTCGGGAGGGTGCAGTTCTGGGACTGGGAGCGAGGGACGCTGCTGGAGTCCCACACCGTCAGCACCTCGGCTGTCCTCTCGCTGGCTGTGTCGGAGGTAAGCGGGTCCCCCCGCGTCCCCCCGGGCTCCTGCGTGCTGGGCCGGAGGCGCTCAGGCAGGAGCTGCCTGGCTCAGTGCCTTCGGGCCGGCAGGAGCAGGGCTGGGAGCGAGGCTGCCGGTCCCTGCCTGCCTCCCGGCGCTGCCCTCTCGTTCTTCCCGGTCTGCGCCCGCAAACCCCGTTCCCGTTTCTCTCGCTAGAAGGAGGACAGCATCATCGTGGGCACCTCGACCGGGGCCACCTACCAGTTTCAGCTGCTGCCGGTGAAGATGGGCAGCCTGGAGAAGCGCTGGGTGCGGACGAAGCCCTTCCAGCATCACACCCACGACGTGCGAGCTGTGGCGCACAGCTCGACGGCTCTCATCTCCGGGGGTAGGACTGGGCGCCTTCACGAGGAGGGCTTGGGTCGCTCCCCCCGGTACCGGTTCGGCTGACCTCTGCTTGGCTTCCAGGCCTGGACGCCCAGCTGGTGATCCGCCCGCTGATGGAGAAGATGCAGAAGAAGGGCTATGAGGCAGCGCTCCGCAAATTCACTTTCCCCCACGTGAGTGCCGCTCTGAGCGGGGTCTCGCGCCGGGCGAGGCAGGCCGGCAGGGCTGGCTCTCACTGCGGGAGAAGGCTGGCCCTCCCTGCCCCGCTGGGTCCCCTCCCTGGCCCTGGCGTGTCTGAAGGCTCCTGCCACGGAGCGGGTGAGGGGGTAGAAGTTGGCAAGCTCGTCTTGCTGGTCCTGCTGGGTCTCCATCTCTGGGCTCCCATCCCACGGGACCCAGTCCTTCCTCTCCCCCACCCCGGAGCCTCCGGCACCCCAGGGCATTTCGGCTTCGGCCCAGCCCTTTCTGCCAGGCTGTGGGGTTCATGTCAGTCTGCCCGTTTCTGCATGCAGCGACGCCTCGTCTCCTGTGCCAGGAAAGCCCGGCTGCTCCTCTTCCAGTTCTCCCAGCACCTGGAGCTCTGGAGACTTGGCTCCACCGATGAGACCGGTGAGTCGCAAGGCCCAGCTCTCCGGTGCAAGCCCTGCGGCAGAGCCCGCGCTGCCTGCAGGGTTTCGGGCATGAACTGTCCTGCCGCTTGGGCAGTGGAGGGGTGGTTTAGCCCGGGCCCCTTCTTCCCCACAGCCCTGCGCTGGCATGACGGCCACGGGCAGGGCTGCGTTTCCCAGCGCGGTGTGTGCCTGGGCACAGGCTGCACAGCCGGTGTGAGGCTGCGCTTCTGCTTCCAGTGGAGCCGGGCCAGGCCCTGGGGAGTTCAGCCTCGGGGGAGGTTGAGGAAATGTCTGGGCTCTCCTCCCCTGGGATCCCCAGCCGCTCGGCAGGACCCGTGCGGTTTCCCCACCTTCACTGAGGCACCGTGTGGTTTCTTGTCGTCCCAGGAAAGGATGGCGAGGTCCTTCCCTTGTGCCGCATGCCCGAGCACCTCCTGCAGCTCAAGAGCAAGGTAGGGCTGAGCCGGGGCCACGGTCCGCCTCGGTGCCTGCCCCGCCGCAGGAGGGGGCTTGGCAGCCTCCGCTCTCCCTCTGACGGCTGAGCTGCGTGTGCCAGGCTGCCAGGGGATCCGGCGGGCCCCGCTCAGCCCCTCTGCGTTCCCAGGGTCCGGAGCACATCTACTGCAGCTGCGTCTCGCCCTGTGGCAGCTGGGTCGCCTACTCCACGGCCTCCCGCTTCCACCTCTACCGAGTGCAATACGAGGGTGACGGCGTCAGTATCAAGAAGGTGCGGAGGGTGATGGGCCGCCCTGCTGCCGGGGAGGGGTGGTGGGTGGCTGCGGGGTCCTGGGGGGCTGGCACGACCAGTGTTGCTCACGGGGAGCAAGGGCGGCAGCGGTAGGTGGCTGCCAGTGCCGCTTCCTCCCCCCTTCAAGGTCCCCAAAGTGCCCAAGCTGCTGCTCCCAGCCTACCAGCTCCAGTTCTCCTCCGACTCCGGCAGCCTCTTTGTCGCCTCCGCTCGAGGCTCCGTCCACGTCCTCCAGCTGCTGGAACCGGGGGGCTGCAAACACCTGCACACGTTTCGGCCGCCCTCAGGTTCGGGCTGATGGGGAGCCGGGTGGGTGCTGGGGGGTCCCTGGGCTCCGAGTCCCATCCCCACTGCGGGCGCAGAGGGGTGTGCAGGGCCGAGCGTGTCCCCCCCCCCCTTTCCTGCCCTGGGGTGTGCGCGTCCCGTCCCATCCCCTGCCCCGGCAGCCTCTGCGCTGTGTTTGTGCCACCCTCGTGCCCTGACACGGGCAGGGGAGCGGGGCGCCCAGATTGGCAGGGGAGACGTGGGTCCGAACATCCCCTGGGGTTGGCTCTGGGGCTTCTCGTGCCTCACGAGCCCGAGCACCCGTTACAGCCAAAGAGGGTGTTTCCGCAGGGTCCCCCGAGGCCGTTTACCTGCTGGCGTCGAGCGCAGACGGGCACTGGCTGGCCGCAGTCGGCGGGGACTGGGCAATCCACGTCTACAACCTGAAAGGCTTCAAGGTAGGGGCAGGTGCCGGAGGGCACTGCAGGAATGACCCCCACTGCCCTCCTGCCTTGGGGGGCCGGGCGATGGTGGGCTCAGCGCGTGGGGGGGAGCCCTCCCCAGAAGCGATCGCTCCGTCCCCGGAGCAGGGCTGGAGGTGGGTGTGAGGGAAGCCGGGGGGGGGGGCATTCAGAGGCGGCCCCGGTTGCTCCCGTCAGTGTGCTGTCCTCCTGCCTTGCAGCATCACTGCATGGTGCCCACGTACAACTGCGCGGTGACGGCCCTCGCCATCCACCCCGTCACCAACAACCTCGTTATCGCCTACTCGGACCAGCAGGTAGGAGCTCTCCTGGTCGCAGCCCTCGTGGCTTTGCCCCTTCCCCGCGGCTCTCTCCCTGGCCT